TATTTATTATTTTCGCACTATGCAAAAGGGTTTATAACTCGGCGCATGTAGAAAGAAATAATCTTTGCAGAAGAATTCTGTGTCAGGATAGTAACTGTTCTTTATCGTTTTCGCCTTATATTGAAGAATGCTCCGTTTTATTTTTGCACGCACTTTCATCATGCCAAAGGGTTCTTTCGATCCAATTAGTACGACGAAAGTTTTACAAAGAAAGTCGGTATCACGCGTCAACGATATTTTCCTACAAATATTACTTTATATTGATTTGACCGAATTAAAAATGCTTTTGTATGGGGAAAGTACATGCAAAAATAGAATATTCCTCACTCAGGGATGAAAACGATGTGGAATTATTGCTATCGTGACACTGATTTCCTCTTACAAAAATTTCAGTGCAGTTACAGCACCAAGTTATATGATAAAAATTGGGTGCGAATATATAGTGAAATATTGCTCACAAGGAGATGACGCCAACTGCAAAATCGATTTCTGAATGAAGTGTTCAATAGGCGATTTCTGAATGAGGCGTTCAATAGGCGTAATATAGAGTATCAAAATTCTAAAAGGATTTAGGTAAATGGGCCTTTGTTTCTTAAATATTGCGATGCAAAGTGAGAATCATGAAACCATGTCCCATATAAGGGCACAACGTGGCATTGACTTCATTGAAGCGGCATAGCTAAGTGAACTCAGGCTTGTATTTTCGCACCGCTGGTATTTTCTGCACCGGCAGCGAGTATTCGAGTCCGGTTAACGAAGTGACCGCGTGCAATGTTTGTTTTTTGGGTTTCGTACTGTCGAACATATATATACGAGGGTGGTCTGAAAAGTTTCCGACCTCAACGTGAAGATAGCAGCACTTGTAAATAAAAGCTAGTGAATTTCGTTGTTCATCTGTTGACAGTTACTCACCGAAGTTTCAGCCATTTTGGACTCGCAGTTGTTATGTAACAGTCGTTTGAGTAAGTTGATGTGAGTGTTTTTGTGAAAATGGACAAAATCGAGTATCGAGCTGTCATTAAATATTTGTTTTTGAAAGGCAATACGCCTACGCAAATCAAAGATGAGTTGGATTCTGTGTATGGGGACTCTGCACCATCATTTACGACAGTGAAATTTTGGGCCGCTGAATT